CCACAGGTGAATACGATGTCTTAGTTCCCAGAAAAAACAGAAAAAACAACCCTCTTCCTCTCCTTTCCGTGGGTCTCCTCTCCCATGCATATTTCCAACCTGAGCTCCAAGCTGCCTTTGGCAGGAGCTTGGCAAATGATAACAGGAGAGACCTGAGCATGCTACAGAACAATAAATATTTCCCCTCAGAGGGATCCTACAGGGGCAGCAACACAGTCCTCAGGAATCTTGGGGATCCTCATTAGTTTAAGGTCAGCCCTTTACACAAGGCAACTCCAGCCTCCCTGAAGCAGTTTCTTTAACAGCTGCAGAGACTAAAAGAACCCTGGCTTTAATTTGGGACAAACACTAATAACTCAGCCAGGTTACAAACCTCTGAGAAATAGCAGAGCCACAAAAATTGACCAGAATTAAATGTTCCTTGCTCCCCATGTCCCCTCTTGCCCCTCCCCTGCTCCCTTTATCATTGAAGATATTCTGCAAGACCATTGCAAGATAAGCATTTTGGCAAGAAACACCTTTCCTCACTGAAATGAAACATTCACACTGGGAAATTCACACTGAACTATTGCAAGATCATGATCCTTAAAAGCCTAAAATTCCCTGCCAGGGTAATACTTGGGAAAGTTCAATATTAATGATTTATATTTAATAGCAATAAACCCCAAATTAAGGTTACAGCAATCTTACACACTCTAAGACACCTCTGAAGTGCAAAATCGCTTAATTTAAGAGCTTGGCTTGCTGTTTGCAGACATAGCTAGCAGCTATAAGAAAAGCAACAACCACTAGAAATTAAAATTTCCTGAATTCTGGCTTTGGTGTGCTATGGAAGTCACCAGAATAGCCCCTGGAGCTGTGACTACCCTGGCTAGACCAGCCCCTGCTCTGGCAAACAGCCAGTACTTGGAGCACTCAGACCATTAAACTATACAGGCAATATTGGGTGGGTAAATGCAGTTCTTACAAACAGAAGTAATCACATTTTTCCTTTTTAAACACAGTTCTCCCCCCTTATTAGTCAATCCCAGCAGTGCTCTGTTTGTATGGACTAGCTGCCTGTGTTTGCTTTCTCTGCCCTGCTTTCCCACATTACTCATTCGCCTTCTATTTAATGACAGATGAGGCTTTAAAGTATAGCAACACTTACCACTTACAAAGGCACACATTAGAAGAGATTTCTTACTACAATAGCAAAACATTCTAACATAGACACAGTTTGTAGCACCTTTGCTGATCATTTTCAGATAGATATACTCAAATATGCAGATAAAAATACATGTATATATTTAGACATACACATAAATACATAACGACTTCAGTTAATAATCATGCTAAGAGCTGAAGTTGTTAGCACTTAGCCTGGCTTAAACTTTTATACCAGTAGAAATAAATATCTTCCTTTTCATGTTCTGTGTCCTCCCACACCATTACAATGTTAAAATATTTAGCATGACTCCATTCAGTGAAGCTTCTTTGCTCATCCTTCTTTTTAATGTAGTCATGGGCAGATATTTCAGTGCACTCCGCTGTGTGGGCTATCGGCCCACCACCCTTGTCACTGGTGCCATGTGGATCAGTCCATGACTAATTTGCTTGATGTGAAAATCAATTGGGTTTGAGATAACACAAAAGACAACATATTCTCACAGCCTGTTCCTTGCCTTATCCACAGAAGAACAGCCATGCACGTAATTGCTTCAATAAAAGCAGTACAAATTTCTGCAGAGTCCACTCCCACAGTTTATGATCTTTATTAACCTTTACCTTGTGTATTTACACAACATGCACCATAATTGAACCCTCTCGCAGCACGTAAAACTGTGGGGGTTTCACTAAGTTCTTACTTCAAGACAAGGGAATTCCTCTGCTCTGTGCCCAAACCATTGTACAACCAAGATGGAATCACCTGCTGCTCTCTTAATTCACTCCCTGGCTTTGTTTCATTGTTTTTCCCCCAGATAATTTCCCTCACTGTGCAAGTATTGTGCCCGGTTTTTACCTTTTCTCCCTCAGCTCCATGTATTGCAATCCCGTTATTTAAAGTGGAACTGATCCAGGAGCAGCACTACCGCAAGGACAACAGCATTGAGATGGAACAGCAAAACATACACAGAAGTGAAAATTATTTAACCAATCAGTGGGGAAAGGTTAGCTGCTTTGCAAAACCAAGCGTTTAAACAGCAAAGCTCTGCCATATGATGAGACAGTCAAATATCTCGACACAGGCTCATTTCTTTTTATATAAAGTATATAATATATATAATGTATTTAGAAAGAGATAAAGAGACGCGGAGCAGCCACCACCTCTTCGCCTGAGGGTAGAGCTGCCCCCCGCCCACAAAATGGCGGCCGCTCCCGCGCCTCCTGAGGGGAGATGGCGCCGCCCTGTCCCGCCTACAAAATGGCGGCGGCCGGGCTGTCGCGGCCAGGCTGTTCCGGCCGTGTAGAGGCTGCTGGTTTGTCTCCGTTCCTCGGTACACCCGGTCCCTGAGCCGACGCTGCCCGGGGGAACAGGCAGCCCGGTGCGGTGTCCCCTGATGGAACTGGGTCGGTTGGAGTACCTGCAGGCGCTCGTCACCGAGTTCCAGGTGACGGATAGCACAGGTAACAAACGCCGCTGCTCGCTGGTCCTCTCCGTGTCGAGCATTTCCTCTCACCTCCGACCCTGTTCCTTTTCCCTTGCAGAGGCCAAGGAGCAGGTGCTGGCGAACCTGGCCAACTTCGCCTACGATCCCAGCAACTACGAGTATCTGCGGCAGCTCCAGGTGCTGGACCTGTTCCTCGATATGCTGACCGAGGACAACGAGACCCTGGTGGAGTTTGCCATGGGTAAGGGCAGCCCCGAGCACCCTCCGCTGTCACCGGAGCAGGGACACCGGGCCTCGCGCTCCGTTTGGTCCCTAACCCGCCCCAAATGCACGCAGGGCTCCAAAAACAAACTCACACTGTGCTAATAAAGCCTCGTTTAGTGCAGAATGGGAGGGAAGTCGGAGGCAGGCGTGTCTTCCATGTCCTTACAGAGCTTAATGAAGACAGCCTCTGGAAAGGATTTTGTTTTTTTATCCTAAACACTACCTGATTAACTTTTTACTGAAATCTCTCCTGTAGAGAAGCAGTCATTAATACATAGATTTTGCCAGGTACATTGTAAACATCTATTCTGCTATTGGCAACTGGTTTTCTAGACTACTTACTTGACGATTTTAATAAATCTTTTGAGCAACTACCTTACCACGATTTTTCATGGTCTGAACATAAGCTAAGGGGCCAGATTCTGGTAGTGGTTCTGTGAGATGGTACTAAATGGATTTTATTTTTAAGGTTTGTGGCTGCACCTCAAACTTTCAAGTTTCAAACATTCTGTGCTTCTTGGCTACTAACTCTGTTACTCCGTTCTCTGGCTTTCTATAGCACCTGCAATAAACTGCTGCCTTGTGTCTTCCAGTAGGGATGAGTGGGCATTCCTGGAATCATTCTGTGGAAGCAGTTATGTGCAGCAGTAACAGTGCCCTCTAATGACATGCAGGAGGAGCGTGCTGGTGGAAAATTGCCGGAAACAATCAAAAACACGTGGCCTAGGGAATCGTTAATAATTTTCTATCCATACAGAAGATCTGGATGTTAGAAACAGGATGAGTGGTGAATTTGCATCACCTCAGACACTTGCCTCTTGCCGTTCCAGGTGGTCTTTGCAACCTGTGCTTGGATAAAACAAACAAAGAGTACATCCTGGAGGCCAAGGGGGTGGAGCCCATCATCAACTGCCTGTCCAGCTCCAACGAGGAGACTGTGGTGTCAGCCGTGACCACGCTGATGTTCCTGACGACGCCGCGGTCGCGTGCGCAGACCACGGCGCTGCCCGTGGTGGAGTGCATGCTCCGCTTCTCGCTCTCGGCCAACACGCGCCTCAGTAACCTGGCCTCCATCTTCCTGCAGGACTACTGCAGCCCTCCGCAGGTGGAGGAGGCCAGGAACCTCAGCAGGCACACAGCAGTGGGCATTCCTCTGCCCAAGGACTGAGCAGGGCTGTGGAGAGGGGAACCTTCTGCTGTTCTCACTTTCTGCTCAGCAGGTCGAGAGCAGCATTAAAGAGAGGAGTTGGTCCCACCAGTGCTGGTGTTTGGTTAACAAACAGGAAGGAACAGCACTAACACGGCAGCTGGGCCAAGCACACAGCTAAGCCTGCAAATATTTAAAATAAAGCAGGTCATGGCTGCACATTGGAAAGTGCTTTGCCAAGTGCAGCTCAGCACCCAGCTTGCACAAACAACCCTTCCCAGCAATGAGGGGTGTTCTGCTCAGGTTATTGGACAGAATTATATCCACTCCAGTTCCTGGCTAGTTGTGCTACACCTCTTCCCTTCAGTGCCCGTGACAAGTGATGCTAAGTGTCAACTCAAGTCACTGAAATGTCACAGAAATGTATTCCTCCTTCAGAGAAAGGAGTTTCCCTGCCCTTGGAGTTCACAATCTCTCCCTCCCTATGGCACTAGTTATGCCATCCTCTAATCATGGCTCAGACAGCCAGCTATGGAATCACTACATAGGGCAGGCTTGTAGCTACTCTAGAAATGAAGTGGAAAGTTTGTCTTTTATTACCACTGGTGAGAAAGGTGAAGTAATTAAAAAAAAAATTTAAAAAAAAAAGGGGGGGGTCATGGCAGTCTGGCTCATGAGAACAGCTGTCTTGTAAAAGCTTCAGTTAATAAAACATTAACTAAACTTAAATGCTGTGTAATCATTTCTGTGTGAGAAGCACACGGGCTAAGAAATCGAAGCCAGCCTTGTCTCTTTTCATTATCAGCCATGAGGCAAGAGAAAACCCAATAACCAAGGTGGCTAAATAGATAACATTTAAAAGGTTTGACTGTTGGAGCTTCCTGTCAGACACCTACACTGGATCTGCTCCCATATGAGAGCCTTCTTCCTCTTTTTCTCTCCCCTCTGCCCCCAGAGAGCACAAACCAAACAGGAGTGAGGTTAAACACACACAAAAATCCAACCACAGCTGCTTGTAGTTTATAGTTTCTCTTCTCCAACAGCAAACATTAAAAACAGTACAGAGATTAAAAGTGCAGAGCAATCTTCCAGAAACCCAGAGCGCTGTGTCTGACAGGAGCAGCTCATTTCTTCTCTGGCTGATCCCTGCAGTGACAGTGCCTCCTGGGCATGGCAGGGGGTGGGCTGTTGTTTCCTGGCAGTGGGAAGAGCACAGCATCCCCTTCCTGGACTACTGCCTGCGCTTGCTTTCCAGGATGGCCTTCCAGTTGTCGGCCCAGGAGTGCAGGCGCCGGCGCGGGGCCGGCAGCTGGAGGTGCCTGTTGTGGCAGCAGGTGAACAGGATGTGCTCCCAGCTCGGGTTCGGCTCCGCGCCTGTGGGAAGGGGGAAAAGCTGGAATCATCTCAAATCAGCTCCCCAGCCAGCAGCCAACCATGGAAATGCTGTTCAAACCTTGGATGGTGTCCTTGTCATCAAACAGCAGGTCAGCAGCCACCACGGTCTTGTCTCGGGTCAGAATAATCCGCTCCACAAACTCGGGTCCCAAGTGTTTCTCTACCCACTTATACTGCAGAGACAAGGAACAGGAGAAAATCCTGCTGTGCTCTCAGTTTGCACATCACTCCTGTCAGACCAGCCCTAATAGAGCAATTTCTTCCCCCTGTAAACCTTATCTGTGTCTAGGAATCCCCACATGGAGACTGGCTGCAGCCCAGGATGCTGATTAAACCTGTTTGTGTGACAGCCTTCACTCAGCACTGCCCTGGCTGTGCCCAACTGTTGAATTTGTGAGCACTGGCTGCTTGCCCAGAGCACATGGATTGTACCCATCTAAGTCATTCTAGTGATCAAAGTCCCCCCTTCCATTCTTGTACCACAGGGAAAAAGGATTTATTCCAACACTACAGCCTCCTCCACACAGCACTGACCTCTTCTGGGACATCTCAGGCTCCAGATTTAGACTGAAGTAGGTTTTGTTGGTTGGTGGTTCTCCAGAGTAGAATCCCCTGGGAATACCCCATCCCTGTGGATCACACTACAACAGTTCCTTTGTTGTCACCTGCTGACACAGCTGGTCCCAGCCCAGCTCCAAGAGCCCAGGGCTCATGTGCTCCACAGCAATTCTGGCACCATGTTGCACTTGGAGATTCCCTGTCCTGAGTTACTGCTCTGTGTGTGAGAACCTATCCCTCAGACAGGGATTGAGGGAAGCCTGGCAGCTAGAGCAGCTACTGTCTCTAGAAAGGAGTAGTTCCAACTTGGGTAATATGAAACAGCAAAGCCTTGCAAAAGCAGCATTAAAACACAATAAAAACAATTCTCTCCTACCTTTTCCACGATGCAGTGCTCGTATTTCCGGAGAGGGCTCGTGCAAATGAAGACCTCAGTACTGAAAAGAAACAGCCTTTGTTAGCAGTCAGGGGAAAGTGTGTTAGATCCTGGAAAAGGGCTGCAGGGTGCAAAGTGTCCTTACTCCTGCATGTGGAGCATCTCCTGCACAGCTTCCAGGGCTCCTGGAATTGGATCCAAGCTTAGGAAGAAGCCAGGTGACTCATAGACACTGGCTACCTTGGCCTGCAGGAGACAGAGGACCATGAGCAGTGGTTGTGCTCTATCACAGCACCCTCCAGTCACCCCCTGTGTAACAGCCTGGTGCTTCCCCCCAGCAGTGAATTATAAAATTTCTCACCTTTGTGTTCTGGGAAAGGTCCAGCTTGGACACACAAGGAGAAGTCACTTTCTGGTGGCTCATGAGGAGGCAGAGCTGCCCCTGGCCTGGCTTTGCTCCCACAGCCAGCCCCAACCCACTGGAGTCTCTGGAGGGCTGAGGGAGACAGAGCTCCCACCCCACCCCTTCCTAGCAGGTGTCTTTCAGCTGGCTCTGATGAAAACCAAAGGAACAAATTCGAGGCTTCTCCTCCTCTGTCACATTTGGCTGAGATTAGCTGAGGGCTCAGGGATTCACTGGGGAGGGGTGGGCAGACACAGGCACTGCCCATCAGCCTCCTTCTCCTTCAGAGCAAACAGGGTACAGAGGTGACCGTGCCAATGGCCAGGCCAGCACAGCCACACCTGGGGAGAATCCCTTCAGCAAGAGGGAAAGATGAGGATGAGAGCACTGGGAAAGCTCCATGTCTGTTGCTTTTTGATGTTCAACCACCTACTTCAAATATTGTTGAAGGAGCAGGCGGCCTTGGCTCCAGCCTGGATGGAGCTGTTCCCCTGAGGTCATGGGCTGGTGAAAATCTGCTCCAAAGAGTCTGAGACTGCAGCAAGAAGTTCACAGGTGATCCCTGTGCTTCCCCAAGAACTTTTGGCTCTGTGAGAGGTGATCTGTGCACCCCATGAACCCCATCTGGGCTGGGTTTGAGGGTGCTGTGGGACACTGCTCCCCTCTCTGGCTCAGCACTGGGCTGAGCTCTGTGATTAAAAGGGCTTTATCCCTTTTGTGTCTGCACCTGCTCTCAGTGTAAACTTGCCTTCCATACAGGCAGGTGGGATGCCACACGAACCAGAGAGGAAGTTAATGATAAACAGGTGGTGAAGGAGGTTAGCTTGAAAGGTAGAATCATTTTTAAGGGAATGTAAATAGAAAAGAAACAATATTTCTGGAGGAGCAATGTTATCCCAGGCTAATGTAGCCAAAAATGGGACAAAAAAGTATTTAATATGATACAGTACAGTGGTATCTTTAATCTCTGAAAGGAAGAGCAGTATTTCCAGGGCAATTTCCAGCTAGGAGTGTCCTTCCAGTCCCTTTTCTTCTTAATTTTTACTGGTAAGACATTTTCATGCCTTTTATTATTAGAAAATTTACTGGTTTGAATCCAGCTCTGGTTAGTTAATTTTAAGAATTGCTCCCTGACCTATTCAGTGGCCTGTGTTAAATGATTGTTTCACAGCAGGTCACAGCTGAGGGGTTTTCCCATTCCTTATCCCACATCCCATCATGGCAAAGGACCCACAGCAGCACCGAGGGCTGAGGCCCCTTCCAGGCCTAAGTTTCACCTTCAGACAGAGAGGTTAAGCTTCCAATATCTCTTTACCCTGAAACACACAAATCTTAACTTCCTTGGGGTCACATAGTGAAATTCAGAGGTGGGAAAGCAGCATTATTCCACAAGCATCAAAGTCATACATTCCCATGCCACTGAACAGTTTGGAAAATTCTTAATTCTTGTTTAGTATTCTTCAAAGGCAGGTTGCAGCCTTTGCTGAGAAGTGTCCAGCTCTTTAGACTCCAGCTGAAGGTCTCCTTGCTCTATATCACCAGTGGAACATCAACAAAAACCCATTTCAATTAAGCAGCAGTGAGGAAGAGTGAGCGTTAAGCCAGGCTCCCAGATCCTGAAGCTCACTCAGTTATCATCACCTACAAATACTCATAAATCAACAGCCAGAAAGCTGGAAGCACTGCCTGATTTCACATGCAGATCAGAAGAAGTTAAGCAGCCTGTCTAGGTTCAGACATGGCAATCAGATCTGCCCGGATCTCTGTTTCCATGCAAAGCCTCCCTGATCCCAGCAACAATTCCCTGGAGCTCTTCCAAGGAGATTGAATTACAAACTTGGGGCTCATGTCTGAAAGCTCTTTTATCCTTCAGCAAGACACCAGAAACTGGCAAGTTTCCACCACATCACAAAAAAGTCTGGCTTTGTTGGAGAAAGAAATTTGATTTGATGACTCTTGGAACCAGAAGCCATTTCCTCTCATAAAAAAGTGACTAGAAAAAGAAAGTAAAACCATTTTCCTTCCTCACGTTCATGCCACCAATGCTGAATGTTTCCTTTTAACTTCCGTTAGTAAGATAACAATTTGGATACAAAACTGGCGGGACTACATCTGTCCCTATGCTTTCCCATTTGCAGGACTTCAAAATAATTCCAGAAATTTTTACCACTGGTGGGGATGTCGAATCCTTTTCTTGAAACTGCCTGGGGTCAAGAAACATGGGGATAAATCCCCACCAACAAAATGGCCACGCACACAGGAGGGGAGGTAGGCAAGTGCAGTGAAAAAATCTTCAACAAAATTAAATGGATTAGAAGTCCTTCTAAATAAAATGGATTTACAGTGTGGAATTAATGATCAACTTGCAATCAAAACAGAAACAAAAACAAAGTAATGACTCAAGTTTCAAGGGGGAGCTGCTCAGCACCAGCTAAGCATGAACACCACTCAGGAAGAGGTTGTGACAGTGGTCACAGGGGTTCTTGAATGAGGGGAGAGACGAGAATGTTGAATCCATGTTCAGAAGGCTTGATTTATTATTTTATGATATATATATATTACATCATAACTATACTAAAAAGAAATAGAAGGAAAGGTTTCCCCTCAGAAGCTAGCTAAGAATAGAATGGAAAAGAATGATAACAAAGGCAGCTGGCTCGGACAGAGAGCGAGAGCCAGCTCTGCTGTGACTGGTCACCAAATCCAAACATCCACAGGAGCCCAATCACGGATCCACCTGTTGCATTCCACAGCAGCAGACAACTATTGTTTACATTTTGTTTCTGAGGCCTCAGCTCCTCAGAAGGGAAAAAATCCTAAGAAAGGATTTTCACAAAAAGATGTCTGAGACAAGAGGTGATGCATAAATCATCATCACAGCACTTCCCAGGCCCTGCCATGAGAATATCCCACACCCTGGAAGTTCATGGACAGACACAGCTGACACCTGCCACAAAGAGACACCCTGGTGTCCAGCTGACCCCCTCATGTCCAGCTGACCTCCTCCTTTCAGCACTGACTAACTGCAGGCTCCATTTCCCTGCATGGACACATGGCCCCACAAACTGCCCTGCGTGGGCTGCTGGCTCCTGCCAAAGCTTTCCCTGAAGCTGGAGCCAAGGAGAGACTTTCCACAGGGAATCTCCTGTCCCACAGACACTCTGTAGAGCCATAGCAGAACAAACAAGGACTCTGTTTTTAAATGGATGGAATTTACATAAAACCCAAAGGAGCCTCACATCTTTAAAACTATAACTTTATTGTTCTGCCAAAGATACCTGAACCAGCCCAAAGCTCCAGATTACTGAAGGAGACAGACACACAGCACAGCTCCATAAAGCTTATTTCCTTAGGAAGTTCTGCTAGAACAGCAAGATAAGAGCTTTCTGCCACTGCTGGTGTGCTGGGATCCAAACCAGTTATCTGGTTATTTCATTGCCACACCTAAGGTCTGGGGAGGAACAGGATGAGCATGAGCCAAATTAGGGAATGAGGATTCCAGAAATAGAACAAAGGTCAATTTTCTCATAGATCAGATTGTAGGCCTTCCAAAAAAGAAAAAAATAAAAAGTCATGAGCCCTTGAATTACTTGCAACTTTTTTTGTTATTGTTCACAGGATTTGATTAAAGAATACTCATTTAAACAAAAAAATCATGTTTGTTTATTCAATGTAGTAGCCAAATTTATGTCTACTGACTATATTTACAGGTTTCTGCTTCCAGTAACTTTTGACCATCAACAGTCATTGATCTGAACTCTGGCAGTTTGGACCCTGTGGAAATGCTGACTGGATCCAGCACTCCTGCCCCTTACTCTGATGCAGGAGCCTTTACCTCACTATGGAACAGAAGTGAAATGAATGTGAATTGTCATTTCTTAGCAGTAAAAAACTCCCAGGCCCAGTACAGGATCTTAAAATGAGCAATGACTTTCTCAGGGAAAGTATTCAGCACAGCCTGGATCAGCAGTTTCCTTAGAGTCCTGAAAGGAACTTGACTGGCCTGTGGTGACCAGAAGGAAGGGTGAAGTCTGGATTCACAATACTTCTAATTTTGTGTTTCATGCAGCCTTAATTTGTGCACTGATAATCAGTGACTTCTTCCAGGATAGCCAGCCCTTTACAGAGGGATGTGTGTGTAGAAATTCTGCCATCAAACCATTCACTGAAGCATCTTCTTCTTTACCTACTCATGTTCTTGCTCTTGCTTTGCAGCAGAACAATAAAAGCTCCCTGAGCACTCTGCACATCCTCACACTGCTCCACAGCAGGACAAGAACTATATGTGTTCTATCTGAGTTTGTACAGAATGAAATCCTGTATCCATATTCCTTCTGCTTGCCCTGACAAGCTGAGTGCACAGCAGGTAAGAGATCAGGAATAGCAGGAGAAAGCTGGTGGAACACCCTCCATCCATGCAAACTGCTGCTATTTTTAATGCTTGCTAATGAGTGAATGAGTAACAGAGAGATCTGCAAGACAAAATTACAAATACTGTACATCCAGACTTCACCCTTCCTTCTGGTCACCACAGGACAGTTGAGGACTCTGTAAGGAAATGGAACATATGCTGATCCAGGCTTGCTGAACACTTTCCCTAGAAGTTTATTGCTCATTTTAAGATCATGTACTGACCCTGGGGTTTTTTACTACTAAGAAATGACAATTTCATTTCCCTTCTGTCCTACAGAAAAGTGCAGGCTCCTGCCACTGGCTGATAGACAGGAGTGCTGGATCCAGTCAGCATTTCCACAGGGTCCAAACTGCCAGAGTTCTGATTGATGACTATTGATGGTCAAAAGTTCCTGGAACTAGGAACCTGTAAATACAGTGAGTAGGCATGAATTAGGTTATTAATTACATAAACAAACATGATTTATTGCTTGAGTATTCCTTAAACAAACCCCATCTAGACAAAAAAAAACTGCAGGTAATTTAAGTTTTTTTAAAAAACTCTGGTCCCACGCTGAGCTTTGCAGAGCCCGGCGGGCAGGGAGAGGTTTCCAGCGGGGTGGGGAGGCTGTGCTGGCCCCGCAGCCGCACTCACCGCCAGGTCCTCCCGCAGGTTGCGGTACTGCTCCCGCACCGAGAAGCCCCGGCGCTCCTCCAGCTCCACGCGCGGCTCCGCCGGGAAGCGGGCGCGGAATTCCCGCAGCACGGCGCCCTCGAAGTCGGCCAGGACCCCGTCCATGTCCAGCAGCACCCGCAGCGGCCCGGCCGCGCTGCCCATGCCGAGCCCGGAGCCCGCTCGCCGCTCCCGCAGCGCCCCCGGTCCGGCACGGCTAGAGCGCTCCTGCATATGCATATTAGCTACATGAATATGCATGAAGGGGCGGGGCGGTAGGTCCCGAGGGCAGCCCCGCGTGGGAACAGGGCTGGGCTCCAACGGGAATAGAGCAAAAGCCCACAAAAGCCACCCTCGCCACCCCTGGGAACCCCGCGGTGGCGCTGCCAGGTCCCCGGCCCGAGGAGAAAGGAGCACAGCGGAGCCTCAGCAGCGCTGAACCATCTTCTGATCCATCAGGGAGCATTAACAAGCTCCCCTGCGCACGAGGCTTGCAAAGCAAATATTAATGTATGGGTTATTCCCCGTGCTCTCTGTGCAGTCGGTGCAGGGCACGGTGCACATCAGCTGCAGGGAACCCCCCCGATGGAGAACAGCAGGAGCAGGTCACAGCAAATCCAGTTCGGTAGGTTCAGCACCCCAGGGCAGGGCTTCTCCAGCGGTGGTCTGGAAAGCCAGGGTGCTTTCAGGCACCAGTTCTTCCCACAGAAGGGTGGAAAAAGCACCATAAAACACAGCAGTTCCATAGGGATGGTCTGCTGTGGCTTATTGGGCAGCAGAGCCCTTCCAGAACAGCAGAGAACTTCATGGTTTGGTCTCAATTCCACCCTCTCCATCTTTAGGGTCTTCTGTTTTTTTTCTTTTTAATGAGGAAAATAAACTTTTCTCACTTTTCTCTGTTTTTCTTACCCAAAACAGTGTTTTGGGTAAACCGTAATGATATATCAAGCCATATTCCACAGTTCTCTGATCTAGAAGCCAAAAATGAAAAGAGAAGATTTTCTCTTCAGGGGAAGTCAGCATATATGGTGGTGATCTCAAGCCATGTGTAAGAACTCTCCTCTGTTAGAGCAGGGGAGGTTGGCTGAGACAAGGACAACTGAGAACAAAGCAAAACCAAACCCGTGAAATAAAACCCACACAGGAAACGCTGCTTCAAAATTTCTATATTATTTACTTTTAAGCAACAATCCAGCTTTGTGAAATTACAACACACACTTTAAAGGATGAGATTTTCACCTCATGGTCAAGCACCAGCATGATCATGCACAGCATTGAGTCAGTTGTAAAAAAAATGCCCTGTAATTCTTATTTTTATGATCCACTCCACCTTTACTGAATAAAGTCTGAATCAGCCCCTTCCCAGCACTAGGCCAGGTGGCTCTGGTCATCAGCCCTCTATTTGGCACAGACCCTGTGTCATAGTAGTCCAGTATCAAGATTTATTTTGTTTTTAAAGGCAGCATGGTGTACATTAACCACTTAATGATTTATATGGCACAGCAGGGCTCAAGGCATTTACCACATGCAGTCAATGAAGACTTTTCGATACCTAAATCCCACATGTGGAGGAAGGGACTGCTCTTGCTGATTGTTTGCTGGCCTGGTTAACCAGGATTCTAGACCCTTGTAAAGCTAAGGGGTTCTAAAAAAAAATCTCAGTACAAAAACCCTCTAAGCACACTTAGAACCAAGCTACTCTCCTTTGAATTACATTACAATACTTCATAAAGCTTTCCCTCAAGTCTATCACTAGAAAACACTCATGTCACTTCCAGTAGATCTGGGGGAAACACAGGACAGAAGTGGAAAAAAACCCTTTAATTTCAAAAAAAGATGGAGTACATAAAGTGCTTCTTTTTAATGAAAGAAATTTGAGATGTACAGTCAGGCTCAAGTTGTGCAGTTCACAAGCATGGGGGAAAGAAAACAGACACAAGTTCAAAACAGTCAGGAAGGGAAAGGTTTAACCGAGCACTAGGCTGGACTTGCCACCGGGTGGATTTCTCCTGGAGGGTGCAGGTGCTGGTGCTACTGGGCTAGGAACAGGTGCAGCAGGCAGGGACTTTTCTTCACTCTGACCTGGGGCAGCTTCTACATCAGCCTCAGTGTTTTCTAGAAGAAAAGAAGCTTTTAAAGTGTTTGATGTGGATGATGAGAGCCAGATGTTTGGCTGGCTCAGACGGAAGCTCAGCTCCTGTCAGATTTGTCCAGGGGTACAGACACACTCCGATGCTGTCACCCACTGGCAGGGCAGACTCAGCCCTCAGAAGTGTTTCTCAGATCAAATCTGAGGCCTTACAGCTCAGTCTCAGGCCCTCAGCAAGTGCCACATTCAGCCAGCTGCCATTAGGGGACACCAGCAATTCATTTTTTTTAATGACAAGCAGCTTAAGGCTTAAGTCTTCTACATATAATCAGACAGTGTTGTGACTGTGGCGTTGTTACTCAGGTCTGAGCAGGTGCTGGGAGCCACAGCAGCATCAGCAAGAGCTCAAACTGCATCCCAAATTTCCTAACTGGAGGGAAAAGGATCTGACACACTTCTGAGGCTTCACACAGGACACACCAGGGAACAGCCATGCATGGGGAGGCTCTGATTGTACACTCCCTGGAGAGCACATGATAGTTTATTTTAAATCCTTCTGAGCAAGCCACAAGTAAAGACAGGGCACAGAAGGAATTCTTCACAGGAAGCACTTTAGATACTGGAGCAAACAACTAACGTATCTGCACTGTTGACAATTGAGTACAGCATCTCACATTTTTACAGGTTAGCATGAGCAGTTCCGAGCCAAAGGCCCAAATCAGCACCAAGCAGCCCCTGATATTGGTGGTGAAGATGAACCTCACCTGTTTTTAACAGACCCCTTTCTTTCCTCTCATGATCACTAATTCTGGGTTGGGAGAATTCAAAGAACTGCTGCACATTCAGCTTAAGCTTCATGATTTAGCAGATCTTGACCAATTTTCCTCCTCAAGCCTTCTCCTTCAAACTGAAGAGGCACAACTATTTAATCTCCCCTCACAGAGCAGCCACTGCACCCCTTCATCTTCACCTTCCCTGTCACCTCCACTACAACACCCTGCACATCATGTATCAAAGACTGTACACAAAATTCAAGATATGGGGGTATTATCATTGTTTACAGGAAAAAGTAAGTAATTTTGCATCCTCTCCCTGATGACATTCAGTATTTTGCTGGCACCTCCAAACATCTCAAAGAATTTCAAGGGGAAGGACTCAAGGCAGATCCTGGGAGCACCACCGCACAGAGCTGAACACAAGGCTGCCATGGTTTAGTTTTTGGGGGCTTTCCCCCCCCCCCACTCCCCAGATTCATTACTTTACACTTGCTTACACAGGGATTATCCTGCCTTTATACCTGCCTGCCTCATTTAGCTGAGTCCTCATGGCAGTGAGATTTTCCCAGCATCAGCACAATTTGACTACTTGAAAAAGGTAATATCACCAACAAAACTGGAGACTTCACTGCTCATTACCTTTTCCAGGTCACAGACAAAGGCACTGAATAAAACCACCTCCAGCATCATCTCCCATAGCTCATTTTTCCCACCTGAAAGGTAATTACTAAGTCCTACCCTTTGCCTTCTATTCTTCCTACCCCCAGCAGCAGCTTTCCTCACAGCCTGTGTCAACTCAGATTGTTTTTTTCAATGCAAAATGTTAGCAGAAACACCAAAACCCAACTTTTGCCCCACTGAACTCCCCCTATATCCATGCTTATAATAATCTCAAAGAACTCCAGCATCTGAGCACAGTCCCCATGCAATAATCTCCACTAGAGATCCTCTGCTGTGTTCATTAACTGTTTGTTTCAGCTGTGCTTCATTAACTGTTTGTTTCAGCTGTGCTGGGTTAAAACCACATTTTAAGCCTGAAGCTCCTGTAGTTGCTGTGTCAGCAAGGGCTGAATGTCCCTGCCTGGGGACAGTCCCAGCACTGTGCAGGGTCCAGGCTCCACCTTCCTGTGGGTCATGTACACTCAGGCACTGCCTGGTTCTCCTTGGCTGCTCACATTCATTCAGCTCACACTGCCCCTGAATCACAAAAGAATTACCAGCACAGGAGGCTTTGGGGGAAGTTTCTGTAGCTCCTTGTGTAGCTGATACACGTTAGCACTTCCCACATAATCAAGCTAAGTTTGCCAACCTGATGAGTGAAGTGGTAAAACCAACAGGATCAGATAAAATATTAAAGCTCCTCCCTTCTCAGAAAAGGTCTAATTCCTGAAACAGCTCCCTGCTCAGTGCACTGCAAGCCACTGAGAACTCTGATGCCCAGAAAGGAACTACAGCTCCCAAAGAGGAAACAAGAGCCCTGCTGCAAAATAAGTGGGTTTTTTTACCCTAGACAGGCTTGATTAATAAATATACACATCCCACCTGACACATACTTGGAGTTTTATAATCAGTTACATACAGAAAATAATTTCCACATTCAAAAGATTAAACATTTTTTAATGACAGAAACCTATTAAGAATCTGGTTGTGCTGTGAACTTGTCAGCAGACAGCTTTTGCTTGGAGGTGTTCATTGTTCCTTTCCCAACCCCACAGACAGCCCTACAAGGCCAGTACAAGTCTCGGGTGTGCCAGTGGGATGTTCAGCAGCCTAAGTTTCCCATCCCACAGCAGGAAAATCCAGGGGAGGAGGGAGATCCAGATCAGAGACTGGGCTCCACTCAGCTACAATACCCAAGGCAGTCAATGGTAGGAATTAATTTAAAAATCCATCAGGATGTTCAGGTATCTGCCACACACACCATTTCCAGGAGGCATTAATTTCTACTCCTTCCTAAGTACCATCAGTGAAAGTTTAACATTCAAACCTTTCCCTGCCATTTTCTTGGCCACCTTCAAAAATTTATTTTTCAGTCATGGCCACAACAAGAAACAATCCCAGTTACCTTCCATAACACTTGCTTTTTAACCACCTCCCAGCATAGCTTCCCCTGACCCTTGATAAGAAATTCCTTCACTGTCACTTGCCAGAAACAAACCAAAAGACAAATAAACGTGTGAAAATGTGAACTTTTTAAAAAGTCAGGAATACCTGACTTTGCACTCTGAATTTCAGCCAGCTATCCTGATCCCAGGCAGCCCTGTTTCTGCTTCCTGGCATCTCAGCCATTCTCACCTCCCTGCTGTTTGTGGGATCTCCTCTGCCCTGTGGGAACTGGTTTAAACAAACACCAG